TTGAAGAAAGGCCGTATCCATAGGCACCTGAGGAAGTTATGGGAATGACTGGGCTGCTGTCTGTTGTGGTGGGGGATGCTTACATCTCTATATGCATTCATAAATACTCAAAGAGTGTCTAAAAATTGTGATTTTTAGTGTATATTAATTATAACTTGAAAAAGAAAAAGAAATATTGGAAGATGTTTCCCAAGAGCAAAGTCTCGCTTAGAGAGCAAATCCAGAGAAAGCAGAGGATGCTCTCCCCAGAACAGGGAAGGAGGGAGGGAGCAGGTTTGGGCAGAGATGGACCATGGTCTCCAAGGCTCTCCCAGCCAGCCCACCCTGGCCGTCCCTCTCTGGCCAAGGCTCTGTGCTGGCAGACACCTCCCTGGCTGCTCTCCATCTAAGCACAGAGGGAACAGTCTTCATTGGACCCTCTTTTCCATCCATGTCCGCACTCCCTGCAGTCTGTCCCTCTGTCTTTCAGAGACTCCTTCAGACTTTCTTACAGTTCTTAGCAGCACAGACGCCAGGGGTGTGGAGGTGCTGGGACTCGCATGCCAGTGGGTTTGTCACCTGATGGACCTGTGTCTCCTTAGAGGGCAGCCAGTCTCAGGTGACAGAGGTCTGTGCTGGACTGAGCCCCATGATCCTCTGTAGACCTGCTACCATCCCCTCCCTGACCATCCTTCCCAGGGAGACCCACCACCCCTCCCCTCGTTCCCACTTGGCCTCATCCATGCCACAGACAGCCCCCAGACTCTCCCTGTATGTCTTCCATCACTGGGGGCCCTGCTGAGGTTCAGGATCCAGCCCTGATATCCCACCTGATCCTGGTCATGTCAGGGCCCAGGATCAGAGTTATTGGTCAACACAGATTCTCCCCATGGACTCAGTGGTCTGGGTGCATGAAATGTGCTTGTATTTCAAACTCCAGGATTGTTGTGTAGGAACCTCACATCCACACATCTCCCTTGCAAGTGCTTTTGATTGTGTCACCCACAGGCAGAGACTTGGGATGGGGCGCCCATATTCTCCACATCAGCGTCCTTTGTTTCCCTCCCAAGTGATGTCCCAGGGCACGTGCTCCTGACCAGTCCTCGGAATGTCCTGTGGGCAGACATGGAGCCATTCTTGGCATCTCAAGCTGAGAATCTGACCCAGTTGGAAAAGCTCTGCCTGGTCCACGTCTGTCTTACACAGACCCCCACACTTGACCTGACTCGCTGTAGGACACAGCTCTGTTCCCACCTCAGGCTCCAGGCTCCTGTCCTCCCTGCCCTGAGGCCACATGCTTCCTGCTGAGCCTCCAGTCATGACAGGACTCCCTCCCTTCTCCATGGGCACCGGAGTTGAGACACACAATGGTCAGACATTCATTGTCACTTCTGGACCCCAAGATCCATGTTCCTTCC